AATGTAGACCCTGCCTTTTTACATGAAAATGCCTGAAGGGAGCTATTATACTCACCATAACAACTACATTAAGCTGTAGTTGTTATGGTGACAATAGTGTCCCTTTAAACTCCTATGATTCATGTTTGCTTAAAACTCCTACTTCCCTTTAAACTCCTATGATTTTCATTGCTTAATTCACCCTTTAAACTATTACATCATTGATGGCCAAATTTGGAAATGTCAACTGAGGGCCTTATAAATATAGCTCACAAACATCTACATCTCCAGGGTTAACCAGAAATGCATTAGTCACCTACCATTAGCTGTGGATCCCACACTATTCTACACACAAACCTTGTGGTTTAGGACGTTTAGCATTTTTATATCAATTTATTAAAAATGTGGCTTTTCTTTTTGTGTGTTGCTTTGTTTGCGCCCTGTAATTTGAAGGACACCAGTTTTTCAGTCATCAGTAGAGGCAGGATTCCTGACACAAATCTAGTAAAAAGTGACCAATAGAGGAAAACAAGCAGTAAAATAAAATAAATCTATACTTATTGGGTTATTATGCCATAGTAAGGCAATTACTGTAGTTAACCCTTAAATGTTACCATTCTTGGTCCTTGAGCTGCTCCTGACTCTGGTCCAAGATGAGGCTGGCGCCACTATGGAAATCAGGAAAATAGATTTTTGTTTGTTTGTTTGTTTGCATTGAACTTACAACTTTCTACTTTTGTGTTCTTATCCAGCATTTGTGGGGTTAACAACTAAAATGTGAATAGTTCAAACTTCAAAGTGAATTTCAAAATTTAGGCCAATAGTGGCCAAACCGGCCAAACTCTATACTTTGGAAACTGCTTTGAATCCCTTGTAATTCACACTTTATTGCTCACAATGCACTTTTAAGTGGATACAGCCTCCAACTGCAAACCGTTTCTCCTTATAGCGTGCATGTATCTCACTTTAACTCTTTGATTGCCAGATGTGCTCCGTAATATAGCATGCATATTTATCCACGTTTCCTTCTGCTCGCACTATTGAACAGCTGGCACATAGCACTGTGTCTCCTCCAATCCTAATCTCGTGCAGGAATGAATTTCCCCAAGGGGTGTTTGTAGCAGGTTAGGTCAAAGTAATTGCTTTTTCATTCACTGATATATTGTAAAAGATCAACAAATCATCATTACAAGCTAGATTGCTGTATTCGCTGCTCAAGGCTACAGGAGTATCTCAGCCCCCTGACAGAATAACATTACATTTTCCAAACACTGCTCTAACAATGTCCCCTTCAATCACTTTTTTATTTTTACCGAACAGCAGTTGGCTGTGATGACAGTCAATACGTTCGATTTCACTAAATAACTTTGTTTTATACTTACCGGCTGTTTTATACTTACCGGCTGCTTCAAATGAACAAACAGGCTGTATAATGAGAATTTTTATTATTTAAGGTCAATCCGTCAGGGGTGACAACAGGGTGACACTGTAGTAAAGTATAACTTGCGGAATTACTAAAATTAACCAGAGTGTTAATACGTCTCATTTCAATTGGTGGTTGTTGAATATAGTTGAAGGCAGTCTGGGTAGTCATTGACAAGTGGTTTCAGAACTGTATTTCGAGTATCGGTTATGGGGTCAGTACATTGCTGTTGAATTTATCCTCAACATAAAAAAAAGATTTTATGGAATTTTAAGCATGAGATGGTGTCTGCCATTGTTGAAGATACCAACTAATTAATGTCTTTAATATTTTTTATTTTTTTTTTGTGTTTGGGCCACATATCTGGAAAGCCTTAGGACCTAGGTTAATGTTAGCTTTGCCCTCTGAGAAGTCTATTCTGTCTAGGATATCCTAACAAGTGTCCTAACTATAGGATAAAGCATTTAATGTCTCTTTAGATGTCCCTGCTTCTTTGGATGCAGTCCCATCATTTCCCCCCCAACTTTTTTCAAGTTCATTTGATAAAAATCTGTAAACTCCCTGGCCCCTTAATTTGGTATATAGTCTTAAGGATAAGTCAGCCACACCAAAAGGATTATTAATGATTAGGAGCAGCTTTCTCTATAGCATCCAGGCACCATAACCACTACAGTAAGCTTTAACAATGAAGCTTTCAGGAGGTATGATTAGTAAATTTGTAGTTAATTAGTTACTTAGAGCAGAACTAGCACAAGAAATTCTCCAAGCACTCAAGGTGTTAAAGCCACAGGCAGTTTTAATGGAACAAAAAAGAGCAGTAATGTTTCGACCTGCTAAGAGGTCTTTTTCGTAGTTTGAAAAAGACCTCTTAGCAGGTCGAAACGTTGCTGCTCTTTTTTGTTCCATTGAAACTGCTTGCGGCTTCAACACGTTGAGTGGCTGGAGAATTTCTTGTGTTGCCTTATCGCTGTGGGATTGCTGGTCCTGCTCTAGAGCACCAGGTTGTTGCTGGGATTGAGTGCGGCTCCTACCATCACTTTTGCAACTTAGAGCAGAACTGTCACTTCTCTGGAAGTGTGGGTACATTGCTCTGTCATATAAAGCAGAACTGGCACTTATCTGGAAGAGAGTGTTTCATTTTATGTCATCCAATAAACGTTGTCGCAATGTTTACTGGAATTAACAAAGCAGCAGAGGTAAGTAAAAAAAATACGAAAAAAATGAAAAAGAGGCCGTCCACTACATAAAATGTGTGGAGGGTCATTAAAGGGTTACTGGCAATTTAGGAGGGGGGTAACCCTAATTAGAAACTTTTAGAAAAATGGAAGAGGAAGGAATACACACTAAGTGTATTAATAGATCACCATACAGTTTAAACCACTTATCAAGAATAAAACATAATATTTTATTATTACAAACCAGGTATATAATATAAACAAGCAACAAATAGTGTCACAACAAAGTGAATATGCTGTTATCTCAACGCGCGTTTCGGTGCATCAGCACCTTTCTCAAGAGAGTCTGAACCGGCACATCTGAATCTACAAGTTTAAAAGGGAAGGCTTTTTAAAATATAATATAAACAAAGATAACTACTTACCTCTGCTGCCCTTTCATGCTGTGTGTATCTTTTTCTCCTTCACGATTCCACAGGCACTGTCATAACTGGTAAAACATCTACATTCAAGAATTCCTTCCTTGATGCCATTTTGTCTCAGGTACTATATGTACAGCATCGTAGGGGTTAAAGGGACACGCTAGACACCAGAATCTCTGAGCTTAATGTTGTGGTTCTGGGTCAAAGTGCCTGTTCCTCCAGCCTCAGCAGTGTGAATGCTGCCTTTTCAGAGAAAAAGCAGTAATAACACTGCTGCCTAATGCCACCACTAGTGGCTTTCACTCCGACAGCCACTAGAGGGACTTCCTGGGTTCAGTCCTGCAAAGATTCAGCTGTCCATGCATATCATGCATGCTACCCATAGAAATGTATTGACACAATGTATCTCTTTGAGGGAATGCTGATTGGCTCAGCTCTGCGATTGGATTGGCTGAAATCATCAAGATTATTGACCTCAGCCAGGGAGGCAGGGCGACCGTTGCAAAGCCAGTGCACCATGGAAATAGAGGTACGCAAATCTAATTATTTATTTCATTTAGAGGGGGCTGGGTTATCTAAATAGTTTTTAGAACACTATAATGTTAGGAATGCGTTTGCATCCCTAAAGCTATAGTGTCCTATTAAGCTAATTTTCATACCATTCCTGGTAGGGTATGTGGACTAAAACTATGCAAAACGGTGCAAAATTCAGACGACAGTTCTTCTTTAAATAAGGAACCACTTCTTAATAATGTGTTTTACCATGGTGCACAAGTTTTTTTCTTTTTGTATGTAATAGGTAAGGGTTCAAGTATTTAAATTATCAGCCTTTCAGATTTCTTTTTTTCTTTTTTGTTATATGATCTTATCGGCACCTTTAGACAACACCTTCTGAACGATTAAAGTTTCCATTAATTAACACATGCTTATCAGCCATTTAATAACTTCACAGAAACTTAAATAAGATAATGAAAGCTGAAATAAAGAGATCTAAAATGCTTGTAATAAAATATTATTTAAATGTCTTGGTTAGCATACAGATTATAAAAAAAATACTCATAGGTAATGTTTTTTTTTTCTTCTTCAAATCTTATTATAAAATAATAATAATTAAATTATTTTAATCCCAAAATATATTTTGTGGTCCTACCTTAATGATCGAAGATAAAATGTAGTCTATTGCCGTATTCCTTCAAACATCCATCTGTTTAATTATAGGTGGCAAAGGTTTAAGCCGTTTATTGACTGGAGGTCAAAGTCTGCTCTTAGAACCAATCTGAATGATTTAACAGGAATTCATATTCAGAATTCTTTAGAAACTGGGATGAGAGATTCTATTCCAAAATACACCATATATAAAAAAATATATATATTGCAACCCTTATTAGAAATTAAACCTTTCAGACTGATTGAGTATTGTAGGATAATAATAAGCTAATTTGCCAAATAAATGTTTGTTTTTTTATTGGTTCTGCACCTGATAAACTGGTGTAATACATGATAATAAAATGAATTGAGTAATCGGTCATATTCATGGAAATGTGATATGTTATCTGTTCCTGTTACTGCAGCTGCAAGACTCTATTTAGTAAATCGCAAAGTATAATCCTCCAATTGTAGATCTAAATATCCCATGATGCTCTGCAAGACTACAGTCTATTCTTGATATACAGAGCATAGGGCATGTAAAAAAAAAAAATAGGGCTCCAATCGCTGGGAAAATCTACAGCCCAAATAATTCTTGTTTAGCCATAGTTGTAGTGAAAACAGCGGTTTACCCAGTTCAGGTGTGATGTCAAAGCTTCTCTGCCTAAACAGTATCTTTGCAACTGCAAGTAAATTGCAATCTTTTCTCTAAGTCTGCATAGCAGGAAACTACGCGAAATCCTCAGAATCTCAGGAAGGTGGCCTATATTGTTATAAGGAATATATTTTTCGGCATTCCAATTTTCTATTTTTGCCTGTAAAGAAGATACTCGTAGGCCACTCAACCATCCCAATTTAGGTGGGACAGTCCCAAAGCCCAACTTATGGACACATCAGGGAACTGTCCCCAAAAATGCAGTGAAATAGGACCCTGCACTGAAACTGAAGCCTTCTGTGAGCTGGCCTGGATAACCGACAGACAGCCTGGCGTTCATTCACACCAGGTTGACTTGCCAGTTCTTCAGGTGAACCTGCCCCCATTCCAGGCGGATCCACAAATCTCTTCCTTGGGCTGTCACTTTTTATCCTGCACACTTGCATTCTGATAAACAGGATATCAATGTTGGGGGGTATGCATGCATAGATAGCCAGGTTACTGCACCTGGCACGAAAAGGGCAGGATTGGCTAAAATACAGAATAGTTTGTGAATAAGAGTGCTTATGCAATGAGAGACATTGTGCATATTTTGATGCTTGTTTAGTAAAACGTCAGTGATCTTCAAAGTGCCTGTTGTTATGTTTAGTGACTACCAGCTGTTTTCATGCTACAAAACATAACTTTATAAAAACTGGTAATTGGCGACCTGCAGAAGTTTAATATGAGACGCTAAAAACTAAGTAGCACCTGGTTTCCATGCCTTAAAACTTACCACCTGTTGTTATCCAACTAAAAACTACACCTGCTTCATTTTACATAATTACCTGCCACTCAAACTATTTTATATTCACTTTATAAAATGTTGCAATACAGTTTGATAAAGCTACCCCTTTGTTTTATCAGAAACTATGTCTCTGATCTTGCAGGACAATGTGTATGCATTATATTTTCTCTAGGAAATATACCAGGAAAACGCCCCTTAAAATCAAAATCACCCTGTCTCTGTCCCCTGATGTCCTGACTTCACATCAATACTGTGAGTTCTATTGCCATAGAACTTCTGTTACACACATACACACACACACACACACACAAATTTGCCTGTCTTACAAAACTAAGTTATTTAATCAGTTTGGATTTCTAAACCATATAATATGACAAAACTCCAGTTTTCTAGAGAAATTACTTCTATCATTTAAAACATTTGTACACTATGATGTGGTTTTACTTATGCACAGCCGACTATTAATAACCACACTGGCCAAGCCAGAACAGCATTCAGACAAGAAATAGGTCCTATCATATTTTAGCAACAAGCCATGTAAAAAGGATACTTTATTAGAAGCACATAACTATTGTCGAGAATTAAAATAAATATGTCCCTCTTTGCATTTGCATTTGTCTCTTCATGTCTGTTTGTTTTAGATTTGCTTTAACAAGCCTGGAAGCGGCCTACCGTGTGTTAACTTCCTGTTTGTTTCTGGTGTCATTTTGTCAGTTTCAGTCAAGCTCTGTATTGAATTTGAAGCCTGCAGGGACTCATCAGGATGGCTTTGTATACCTCTGCAGTGTTTAGCAATGCTTAGTAAAAAGAAATCCACAGGGAAACTTTGATAACTTGCGATTTCCTATGCATCCTTTAAACAACAAATCGTTGGTTAGAATTGATACCCCAGCTAGTCTTTGTTTAATGGTTAATCGCATGAGAAGGTGGGAAGGTTAATTAAATGTGACTAAGTGGGTAATACACTGCAGCTAATAAGGTTTAATGATAAGATACAAAGTTGGGCTGGGTGTTTTACACGTTCTCTGTCATTTCTGTTTTATTCATTTATCAATGTTTGGGAACACATTTGGCTTAACTCTTTGATGTTCAAAAATGTGAACATTGTTTTTCTTTTTTTTTTGCCTTAGTCAATGTAAGTTTGCAATTCTGTAATTATAAAAAAAAAAAAATATGATGTAAGTATTTAGTGGCTCGGTGCTCCAGCACTGATATATTAAATGGATATATTGAATGAAATACTCGCACTCTTCTCAATAAAAAAAAAAAAATTACATGCTCAATAATAAAGCATAACCCAAATAAATCTATATCCACCCATAGAGAAGAAATACAGTAATCAATAGTCATTTAATCCCATTGTACGGCGCTGCGGAATCTGATGGCGCTATATAAATAATAAAATAATAACAATAATAATTCATGATATCAGCATAAATCCTATGCCTATGTTATATGTATATAGCAGCCAAAAATTAAAAATGTACGTAATCAACTAAAACAACAACGTAAATAGAAAGAAAACAAGATAATAGATTGCTGTCCAACACTGAAACTGTTAAAATAAAAAACACTCTTTGAAGTTTATACTGAATGCCTTTTGCTCCTATACGAACTGCATGTGTGGTAACTTAAATATTACTCCTTTAAATCTTGGGTTAAGAAGGACGCTGTAACTGTTTCATTGTCGGAACTCTTACAACAAAGAGACTTAGAATACTGATGCATATTATACGTCAGTGGTGGTTTAGTTTTATATGAACTCTAAACCAAATATTTGCTCTGCTCTTATCTAACAGAAGCAAGCAATTTAAGTTTACACAATTTAAAGTGATATTGCAGGCATGAGTTACATGTAATGTGTAGGTAAGGCTGTAGTTAATTATGATGGTTGGTATTTTTAATTACTCTTCTTTAAAATAATAAATAATAATTGTAATAATAATCAAGTCTATCCTTGCTGTCCCTCCAACCCAACCTACAGTTTTCCCTGTTTGGCTCTAAAAATACACGTGCACATAATGCCAGGTTTCTGGGACTTTTAACTCAGATATTAAAAGACAAGTGAACAGCAACTTGAGCTCTGTGATTGGCTGAGTGAGTCCACTGTAGAGTGAGTCCACTGTAGAAGCTGCACATCCTGTGGATGAGCAGCAAAAGTAGGAAATTGTATGTGGGTGTTTTGTTATTTTGTATTCATTTTATTGCTTTGTTTTTGCACATATTTTGTTTTGTGCTAGAAATAAAGAATGGGTCATTTCCATTAAATATCACTCTTATCCTCTTTCAATATCACCCCATAACTGAAAAATACGGTCTTGATTTGTTGCGCCACTATCGTTAAAGTGTGACGATATATCTTACTTTGCTTTTCTATGATCAGTTTTTTTACCATCAATTAAGTTTACTATCCCACGCATGAAAGTTGCAATGTTAGATAAAATTTAAAAAATTCAAATGCATTATCCATTATCAATGTATAATAATAAACCTGATTCCTCTGTGAATTTGTTTAACACAAAATGAGAGGTAAAAAAGTTTATAAAATGCAAAATGTTTGATATCTTTTAATCTACATTCATGGTTTAACAGGTTACGTAGATTCAGTGCTCAGGTAGGTTGAATTATATTAGAATTCTTAAAAACATGTTGACACAACTTATAGATGGTGATATATACATGACATGCCTCTTTAAAGGGTTACTCCAATAAAAATTCAGTGTTTCATAAAACACAGCTTTTTTTGTTAGATTAGCACTTTCTATGGTGCCCCAAAAAATCTTAAACGTATCTCTTTTCCATCATCGAAGTAAAGTTCTTCCCTCCGCCTGATCCTTCATGGCTGACGTCATTACGCCTCTCTAGAGACACTTTAGGCGCATGCTATGCATACTGGTGTCAGATGCCAATTTTGCTCCATATTCAGATTAGCCAGACTGGAACTCTTGTTCCAGGATGGCTAGTGACGCTCCAATGATGCATCCGGCGGTGAAATTAGACCTCCAGTGGCAAAGGCGTTAATCTCCATATGTGCAGCGTTTCATAAGGAAAGACTGCACATACAGACTCCAGGCATCATGACCACTTCAAATCAGTTAAGCCATAATGGCATTGGAGTAACCCTTTATGTAGTTAGAAAGCATTATTACATGTAAGCAAATATTTAATCATTTATGGCACCAGAATATACTGAAAATGCGAGAAATCAATAGTCTTGCAGTTTAAATGCATTTTAAATAACAAATGTTCATGTCTGAAAATGTTAAATTAATTTGAAATGGAAATATTGTACATTAAAGTGGAATATGTTAGCACTTTGTACATATAATGAAAACCGTATCAACAATTTACAGCTTTTAATGCATAAACCGTTTTTATTTTTGACCTCTTGATATATTATTTAAAAGCTTGCATTGTGCTATTTTACTTGATTTTTTTCCTTTCCTCTGTTTAAATATGATCTATAGCACCATATGTTACAAGTTTGAAAATATCATGAATTATGCAAAAAACGAGAGAAACATTATGCATGCGGGTTATTCATTTAACAGTAATTTATATTGTCTGACAGCAACAAGTTGACATGAGCTGCAAAAGGCTTAGTCTAGAATCAGGGGTAAGCAACCGTCGGCACTCCAAAAGTGGTGGACTACATCTTACCTCCCCTGATGCTTTGCCAGCATAATGACTGTAAGAGTGTTTTAGGAAATGTAGTCCACAACATCTGGAGTGCTAAAGGTTGTCTATCCCTGGAGATGTTGCTGAACTACAAATCCCATAATTCCCTGCAAGCTTATGCCTCACAGGGAATTCTGCTAGTTATAGTTTAACAACATTTCAGAGTCCACAGTTTGACATCTCTGTTTTAGGCAAAAATAAGTAACTCGGAGAAACTTACCAGGTTTATTTTTTACAATATCCACTGTTTGGAACCTAATATTGTCACTCTATAAACTTCAAACACCTCTGGGTTTACTGAGAAATAAAAGCATGTATGTAATGAAACTCTAAAACATGAAAAAAGTTGTTACTGTATTATATATTTTATGTTTTTCATCTCACTGAATATTTTCCTTGATTCCTGCTTTACTCCCTTTGAATACATGATTCTGGCCACAATTATTGCAAATTGTATCGTTCTGGCCTTGGAGCAACATCTACCAGGAGATGACAAGACCCCCATGTCTCGTAGATTGGTAAGCTATCTTTTCCTTTCATATAGAAACATCTAAATGTATTTTTTTTAGAATAGTCCCTACAGTAAACTCAAGTTGTGGAATATTTCTTTTCTTGAATGTGAATGTCTTCTTGACGTAATACCTAAATTCCTTCCAGCATCAGAGTTTGACAATAATTGTAACATACCTAAGGCCTTATATTTGAATAATTAATTGAGATTACTAAAAAAAGCAAAGCCAAAAGGTAAACTCAGATGATACTATACACAAACCTAAAGGAGCTATAGTTCTATAACAGCCAGAGATCTTTTGGGCCATCCCTACTATATGACCAGTGTTAATTTTGACATCAAATTTAAATTTAGTTTTAGTCATAGTCTTTTTGACTTAAAAGCCATTTTAGTTTTGGTCGTTTTTTTAGTCATCTGAATTGTTTTAGTTTCAGTCCAGTTTTAGTCGACTAAATCTCCGAAAATTG